AAAACATCAGTGTGTTATCAACATTCTTCTGGTACTAAATCCAAAACACAGCACTATGCTAGCTACTATGAAGAAAATTAACTCTATCCCAGCCAAAACCAGGACAGCTGCAAACCTAACTCTGCCGTCACATGTACCTCCCAAAGTCTAAAGATTTTCCTACCTGGAAGAAAGGCTGCTAGGAGAGCGAGAACAGCCCTAGGCTAGGCTGCAAGGTCAACGCAAGGGGACAAGAGCTATTCAAAGTGCCATCAGGACTAATGAGATCCTCCATCCATCCCTCTGCCCAGCTATGCCTACAGATCACCCCTGGCCCGCTGATAATTTCACCTGCAAAATTATACGTTAGCGTTACTGTCAGCAAGAAACCAGTCAGACCGCAGCTCGGGGATGGAAGAAGAAACATCACACTAGGGCTGAGAAGGGGACAAAACTGCACGGAGATAGAGGAGCCAAGGCCATGCCGCCCACCCAAAACCAGGGTTCATAAGGCTCAGCAAGGGGGTAGAAAAAGATGTCTTAACACTTCTGCCGAGTCCTCCCAGATGCTCCTTTTCTAGTCTGGAATTCCCCAGAGCGGGAAGAAACCATGGAACCTTTCAGACACAGATTCCTCATTTCTACCAGAGAATAAAGCGGCGAGCGTGGTTCCACTTGCCTTCCTCCAACGCTACACAGGGTCACATTGGAAACACAGAAGACCCAAGCTGAGTTTAAGAAAGATGCCAAAGAAAGAGGAAAACATTCCTCAGGCAGGACCAGAGCCTTGGGATGTACTTCGTGCCAAGAGGAACCTAATCTGAGCAGGAACTACGATTCGTGCCCCAAAGCAGGAGGCACACCAGCCTGCACCCACGGCGCTGCAAAGAGACAGGTATGGTAATCATGGGTTTAATTCCCCAGCGAATTACCAAGCCAAAGCCTCCGGGCACCCTGCAAACCCAACAGGGAAAGGAGGAAACAGGGAAACAAGAAATACCAGCCATGCAAGCCAACCGGGGGATTTGCTCGTGGAGTAAGAGTGTGGCCGCCTTGCCGTAGGGGCTGCCCCGGCCCCACACCCACAGGGTCCAGCCAAGGGAGCAGCGCTTGCATCACCTTAATGCATGGGGCCAAGAGTCATCATGGGGAAGGGCGAGTCCCGGGCAGGACAGCGAGAAGTCCACAGCACATGGGCAGAGCTGCCCAGCTGCGGTCCCCACACCAGGGTTACGCTGCTCTTTAGGCCAGCATGGAGCAGAGACCACAAAAGGGGCTTTGCAAGCAAATACTCCCTGGCTGCCACGCCAGCGCAGTGCGTGGGCTATTACAGACAAGAGCTGGCTGTGATCCCCGACGAGCCCAGCCATATTTCACACACAGGAGTTACACAAGGGAGCAGTCTTTAATCAGCGGTGTCTATCATAGAATCATAGAATTGTCTAGGTTGGAAAAGACCTTTAAGATCATCAAGCCCAACTGTTAACCTAGCCCTGCCATCCCACCACTAAACCCTGTCCCCATTCCAGAGCCTGACAACCCTTTTGGTGAAGAAGTTTTTCCTAATGTCCAACCTAAACCTGCCCTGGCGCAACTTCAGACCATTCCCCCTTGTCCCATCACCCATTCCCAGGGAGAAGAGGCCGCCCCCCACCTCGCTCCCCCCTCCTGTCAGGCAGTTGTAGGGGGCGATAAGGTCTCCCCTCAGCTATACCTCCAGCTGCTCTCCGCATGCATGTCTAATGTGCATTTCTGGAAGTCCACGGCGATGTTCAGGCACAGGATGAGGGCAGACAGGGACACAAAGCATGACTAGAGCTGGGAGAGCCCCAGCGCTGCTCAACACAACAGGTCCCATCAGACAACCTGCATGGGGATAAGCCCTCCTGTGTTGGTGCAAGCTGCTCCAACCCCACCAGATGCCAGGCTCTGCACGGCCAACAGCCACGGTCACCACCCGTCCAGCACGTCCTTCACAAAGCTGAAGCACAATTTGTGTGGTTTTGGAGGGAGGAGAGGGCGGGCAGGCTGCAAAATTAAAAATTCAAGCAACCAAGCGGTGCTATGCATTAAGGACTGGTCAATTATACGGAGCGAGCTCAAGCACGGTAGCAAGCTGAGGGCAGGCAGACCTGTCCTGCCCACGCGCTGCCCGCGACCGGGGCTGTACCAACAAAACGCCAGCGCGGACAAAGTCCACTCAGAAAAAGCGTCTGGCAGCTCGCAGGCTTCGCCATGCTGGGCACCCAAGAGCTGCACCCAGGACACGGGTAAGCTGGCTCTGGGAGCACCCTCCGCCTGAGCCGACAAGGAAATACCACAGGCAGACAAACCGAGTATCAGCCGAGAAAAGCCAGAAAGACGGGTCACCGCAGGCGAGGCTTCTGCTCCAGCAGCCCATTTGCATCCAGAGAGCGTACTCTGGTATTTGCTGCGCTCTGTACGTGTCTGTCCCCATCTATCCAGCACGCTCTGCGCCAGCACGGCAACACCTGGAAAGTCCCACTCGACTGTCCCATGATGTAAAACAAGCCTTTAAACTCAGCAAGGGAGTTGCCCAATGGATGTTGTTTCCATCCTCTCCTGTCTAGATTTCAAACATACTATGCAAAAACCAAAAGCGTTTTTTTAAGACAAGAAACAAAACGCAGTCAAATCGCGACACGTTATTTGAATTTCAGCGTGAAGAGCCACCTGCGATAGCTTGGGTTTGTTTGTCCAAAGATGATCGCACGGTAGTTTTGGGAAATGATGCCTTGACTGCTGGTTTCGGGGCTTCCCATCAGAAGGATGAAGCCCTCATTTCAAAGCAGGCGCTGTGTAAAGCTATACAGACGGCGATAAGTCCGACTCCGGACAAGACATGGCTATAGGGCAAGGTCATTTGTAACGTGATAGAAACCCTATTCCTTTAGCCTGGGCCTAACCCCCAACTTTAAATCTTCCAGAAAGAGGACCCCTCGCTCCTCTGGGGAGGCACTGATCTTCACTGGCTCCCAGACCTAACCCTACAGAGGCATTCCCCCCAGCCGGCGGGATGGTGCCAAGACAACCCAACCACCACACCTCCAGCACAGGGTAGAGCTCTCCAGGGCTGGGAAGCCAGCTAGCAGGATGCCATAGCAGGGTGGGCCTGGGGCAAAAGGCCATCTCGCCCACTGGCTCCCCAGAGCAACCTCCAGCTTTGCAGACTGGGAGGAAGCAATAACCACTGTCAACAGCGGACAGCCACCGCCGGCACAAGCCTACCTCCGCGACGGGGTGAAGTAGGCAAACAACCTCACCTCCCCAAACCTTTCCACCGCTGCACCCGCTGGCTGTCCCTCCGGAGGGGGAAGCACGGTCCCTGGGGAGCCCAGACCCCCAGCACCTCC